GTCTCCAGAAGGATCTGAAGCAAGAAGCTCCAGAAGATTCTGAAGCAGAAGCATCTGAAGCTAGTCAGAAGCATCTGAAGCTAAGAAGAATATTGTATGAAGAGTTTCTCAAAGCATAGTTTCTACAGAAGTTTCTAAAAGTACTAAAGCTGCCAAGTACTGAAGTTCTGTGACAAATATGCTCTGATGATCAACACGCTGAAAGCACACATGCTGCAGAAGACTCTGATACAGCAAAGTTTTGTACATCATTAGAAGACTCTGACTCATTCAGATTCTGATGAACTTGCTGAAAACTGAAGAAGAAATATTCAAAGAATATATTCGTTGGAGTAAATCAAACGTCTCTTTCCTCATTTGTGCTAGACACAAGAACACAGACATAAAGGATTTTTCTGTGCTATCTACTTCTAGGAAAGGTCACTTGATGTGAAGACAAAAAGGCTCAGACCTTTTTGAGGACTCTCTTCTCAATGTTCAGCTTCATTGGATCAGCTGCCTATAAAAGGAAGACTCCACCAAATTCCTCAGTTACACAATTTGCTGAAAAGAAATCATAATATTCAAAGCTCTCATTCTTTCATATTCTTCTTAGAATTATTGTACTTAAACTTAAGAGAAAAATCATTGTTGTGATAAAAGCTTTTTAGAAGCATTAATACTCTTGTATTTGATTTGCATTGATTGTAAAGATTTTCCTTAAGAGGATTCAGTTGGAATCAGTAGCTCTTGAGAAGACTAAGAACAGTTGTGCTTAGGTGTTACTATTGTAATCTGTTTGATTAAATAGTGGATTAAGTCCTTGTTGAGAAAAGGCAAATCACTCTAGGAAGGGTGGACTGGAGTAGTTGAGTTCAACGAACCAGGATAAAAATAATTGTGTTTTTATTTCTAAGTTTAATATATCATACTTATTCAACCCCCCTTCTAAGTATTATCTCACCTTCATATGTTTTTCGTGACGAATTTATCATTCTTGTTGGGTTCGACAAGACTTTTCCCGTTCGACGGCTTCAGCAATTTGCACACATACGGAGGTTCTGTCTTAAGTTCAGCAACATTGACCTCGCTTTCCACGACATATTTGTCGCCTAAGTCTAAGAGATATTCATTTGTCTCTACATATGGGAATTTCTCTTTTTTATGGTACTTATTCGTTCTGGCTTTTTCAGCTTTCAAGCGTTCGACCTAGTGAACTCTATCTTCTAATTGTGCCATGTACCTAAGGTATTGAGTGTCTAGTTTCTTCCTAATGGAATAATCTAGGCTAGTTGCAGCCATTTCGACTAACTCGTGTTCAAGAACTTGTGTAAAACACCTTGATTTAAGAAGTCTGAACTTGTTCAAATAATCTTCAGTTGACTCAGAAACTTTTCTCCTAACACTAGCATACTCTGTAAAACTTATCTTCAATCGAGCCATGTAGATTTTTTCATGGAATAGTCTCTTCAATTGACTCCAAGTTTGAACGGAGTGTGGATGGAGTATGGTGAACCAAGTGAATGCATTTTTGTTATAGAATTTGGAAAATACTTCATTTTCAAATTCTCATTGTTTGTTATGTCACATGCCTCCGTTTGATACCTAACTGTCATACCCTAAATTTTGACCACCTCATTTTAATTATTTTCGGTCATCTGGCTGCATTTTCACTTTGCATCATCTGCATATCATATCATATATTTTATCATGAATATTGTTTGAATTATTAGTCAGAATGAACATGTTAAATTTTCAAGCGTTTTGGTCAAACTAAAAGTCAACTGTGCAAAAATCCGGTGTACGGGAAGTTTTTTAAATCGAATTTGCAGATGCCAATTCTTAATCTATTTTTCGTGTACTATAACCTGGTGTGCTTATTTTATTTTTTCAGCTATTTTTCGGTCGCTTTTCTTACCTGTCTGAGCCATTTTACTGGGTAAAATCAATTTCAAAATTTGACAAAACGCTGTATTTTTTCAATACGTATATTTTTTGCTGATCATTTTGGTGTGTTCATTTTATTTTTTCTGACACCTTGATATAGACAGTTTTTATCGTTTTTACCGGTTTCGGTTCTAATTTTAATTAATTTTATTTTTTATTAATTAGCATTATAATAAACTTTATTTTTGTTAATTTATTATTATTATTATTATTATTATTATTATTATTATTATTATTATTATTATTATTATTATTATTATTATTATTATTATTATTATTATTATTATTATTATTATTATTATTATTATTATTATTATTATTATTATTCGAAACAATGCAAGATTGATGGACCAAGCATATAATCTAGAAGAGGAATGCCTGTGATTAAGCTACTTACATTACACAAGATGAAATTCAATTTATGAGTAAACCGGAAGATGGAATGCCTATGAAAGTTGTGGTAGATGAATTATGAAAGGGAGAATAATTCTCAAGAGATTGTACAACTTCTTCTTAACTTCTTCCATTTTAAATTTAGAAATAAGTGGATCAACCTTTTAGTAACAAAATTCCAAAGTAGAAATTCTAAAGTAGAAATCTTTATCTTTGGATCAATAACCGCTCATAGAGCAAGCACACACTATAATCATGTCAATTCTTTGAACATAGTTCTGAAATATCTCATCAATTTGAACATATATCCAATTAATTTGATAAGTGAAAACATTGTTCATAAATGATTTTGATAGTTTCTTAATGAAGGGAAACATATATGTGTCAATTCTTTCCATTTTAAGCTTTTTCAAACAATTATTTAGGGCTCCCAATCTATTGGCCTAAGGTCTCAGTAGATTGGAACATTTATTTTGACATATGAGTTATTCCTTTTTTGTGTTAACCTCTAGCCTATATATATATATATATATATATATATATATATATATATATATATATATATATATATATATATATATATATATATATATATATATATATATATATATATATATATATATATATATATATATATATATATATATATATATATATATATATATATATATATATATATATATATATATATATATATATATATATATATATATATATATATATAGGACTCTCCTTTCACATTTTCACATCTAAAAAATGTGATCTCTCTATCTCACTCTTCACTCTCTCTCTCTAAAAATATTTCTTACTTTCTCTCACTTTTGTTTAGCCATAGCGCTTCGAGATAGTCATTGTGTTTAAGTGAGATTTTGTATTCTATAAAAGGGTGTTATTATAAATTCACCAAGGAGTGTTTTTCTCTTGGTTGAATAATTTATCTTTTATGGAGTATTTGTTCAAAGATTAATTCGTTAAAAGTTTGGTTTGGAGATTTCATTTTTAAATCACTATTTCAGTTTGAGAGCTCAGCCCGTGTAAAAGCTGCACTTGGTTCGAGATTAGCCTGTTGTAAAATCTCAACTCGGTTCATGAGTTCATCCTGTGTAAAAGTTTCATGATGGTTTAAGATTAGTATAGTGTAAAATATCAATTTACTTCGTGGTTAGCTCGTGTAAAATCTCGTTTTAACTTAGGGACTAAACGCTTCAAGTTCGTGTTTAGAAGGAAGACTAATCGCTTCATTCCGTTGTTGTTGGGTTGGTTGGAAGTCAGTCTAAAACTTTATTATTTTTCTTGTATAAGAGGATTCTAGAGTTTAACCTACTAAAAGCTCTTAAGCATTACTGGATACTCTCAAGACTAAATCTTGGGGACATGATTGAGTTTTCTTGGTCGAACCTGTATAACTCTATAGTGTTATTTCTCTTACCATTAACTCTTTATTTTCTGCATATTTGTTTTTTGCTTCTATTTCTAAAACAATTTTATGTTTTTAAACTCTTAAAATAATAACAATATGTTTTCAAACTATCGTTTTTCTAAATCCCACAATTTACTTTATCCTCCTCTTATGTGTGGAGTCATATGTCAATGCACGCCTCATTACCTAACTGATTCGCTCTTACATGCCTTGTGCTTAAGGGACATCAGGATGATATATCTTTGGTTAACTACTTCACCCTTACATGTCTTTCACTTGAGGGATTATGGACTAAAAGGTTATCGCTTAATCACTTCGCTTTTACAAATGTTGTAGAATAAAGATTGTGAAATTTAATATCTTTAGTTAGACCCGACTATCATAAAACAAGACCATTTAAGATCAAAGTACTCGGTCTATAAACCCTCTAATTCTTAAATGATATGAAGAATATTTAAATAGTAAAGGGGCGAGATCACATGGTTAACATGCGATCAATCTTGTCTCGCTTTCTTTTCTTTGTGATGTATCTCGTAGGAGAACGTGTCAAAATATGTTTTAATTATGTTCAATGAGACTCACTCAATTAATAACTTAAGTATTCATGGTCCTATGGATTCACTTCATCTCCTACATTAAATGGATGACTCATCACCGCCACTTCTCTAGTGACTCAAATCCCAAAGACGTGTTGTCGAATTTGTAAGTATCATAATAAGTCTCTCGACTAACTCCTCTATTAGACGACCGCATCTATAAATAATTAGTCAAACAACTGAAGTAAATTCATTTACTTTTTCACATATCATAACAAAAATCCTTATTGTACTCAACAACACATGCAGGTAGTATCAATTCTACTCATAGTAAGTACAATTTGAAATTATTGTCTTGCCTTATTATGGATTCATAACAAGTTTTAGATTTATGCTGCATATATCCTTGGATTTTCACAGAAGAACTAGTGATGGCTGATTCTTGGTAGTAAGTTAATCTAAGATTGTTTTGGTGCACCAAGGAACAAACTGCACATATCCGACAAGGATCAAGAAAGGATAAACACATGTTATTTTTATGAGAAAGTATCACAATCTTAACAAAATGTTGTTTTAGACAAAAAGAAAAAACTCCTCCAATAAATAAACTTTTCAATTTCCACTCTGAAATGTTTCATTTGTTACACTAAGACTAATTATTAAAATAACATGCATGTTTTCCTAAGTGTGTGTGTGTGTGAACTAAATCTACACCTAAAAAAACACTATAACTTGTTATTCATTGCCCTTGTCTTCACTTTCCTTATTAACTCTTCCTTTTCATGTAGAAACTGATGAAGACTTTCATTTGTATAAGGAGAAGGCATTGTGCATGGAGGTGCATCACTTGGTGACACCACCATGGACTCAACCAAGAAATGTTTCCTCGCACCACGCATAGAACATGCCATACTTTCAGCACAAACCTCAACCGCTCCTTCGGGAACTTTCGGTTCGAATCTCAAAAGCTTTGCATAAGTACTTAATTGATGAAACATGTAATCATATACAAAGTTCATCTTTAAATTATCTCTTACATACTTGGTTCCTCCTTCTCCTATTGCTTGTGCCTGCAATTCACATTGTTGAAATATATTAGATAAAGTTTTGTTTTTGCTTAGGTAAAGATGAAGAAGAAGATGATTACACTATCAAGGTGAGTGTTGCCCCAATCTACTGCAAATTTAATGTCTTCACACATGTTTTGGGTACTTATAGGCCAATAGTGCTGCAAAGGTAGCATGCTTCTTGTGAAAAAATCATAGTATATAGGCTCTATGAACATTGTCATGGAGTCACATGCTATTATGTACTTTTCACTCACAGACCATGTTGCTCCTTCTGCATAAATCTTGTACCTAAACATATGTAACATCACACATGATTAGTTTCATAATTTGGTTACGCCGTCTTAAGTTTTCAGAGACCCTGTGCTAGTTAACTACGATTTAACTGTGACAAAAGAAATAGTTAGTTGATCCTGTGAAATAGTTCGTCCTACACGTCTTTAAAGATGAACCTGATCATATGTAACAAATTTAAATAGGAAACACGAATTTGCATACCTATAGGAACATTGATTTTCCAATTTTGTGTCGTTGAAACTTTTCGATTTCTCTTCTTTCCAACGCTGAAAAAGAAAAAACATGTAGTCTTTAAAAAATCAATGCAACTAGTGTATAAACAAAATCAAGAGACGTATACGGTTATGTATTTACGACGCCAAATATTCGAGCATTCCAATCATGTTCATTGGAGGCGTTACACTTGATGAGTTCTTTTCGAATGTTAGATACGGACGGATTGCCCTTCCAATATGCATAAGGTATTCTATCCTCCCATTTGACATTCTTGTTGCCTTCTTGTATCTTGTACATTGTTGTCTCCCATGGTCTTATGTTGAGTTCAGCCCTAACAAGAGGGAAAAAAAAACAATGACATAATAATTTTTCTTTTATTTTACCTTAATTAGATGAAACCCTGGTTTTAAATTGCGATCCGCAGCTGAACTACTGATGTGGTAGTCTCTGCAACTGTATCATACCACAATTTAAAACCATGGATGAAACATCGAGAGATCGAAGGGAATAGAAGTTTTACCAACCCCAGAAGGTCCAATCAGGAAAAACAATATCATAATAATTTGCCTTTCCACAATAATGAAAAATAGGTGGAGGTGAAACATCAGATCCTTGAAATTTTTTTTTTTCCACAAGAGTTTTATCTCCACATTGAAACATTAATTCCAAATCAGGTATTTTTCCAGGGTACAATCTTAAAAGTTGTAAGATTCCCCATATTGTGAAAACATCTCTTGTTTGAAAAGCTTTTGCAAATTTTTCTACGTATAATTTTCCATTCACGATCACAACGCGAAAATGCGATAGGTTTTGGCCACTTTCGACCATTTCTCTTGTGATTCCTGTTTTCTCCCATGGTTTGAGATCTTCATGGATCCATTTGAAGTAATGTGGACATGATGATGAGGGTGCTGGATAATCATTTAGGAGAAATGTTGTTGGGTAGTTTGAGGAACATGTTGTAATGTTGCAATTTAGTGGGAATTGAGGTTGTTGCTTGTTGTTGTTGAAGACTTTAATTGTCTTCAAAATAGTAGTGCTTGTTTTGGTCTGAAAGAAAGAACATGAATAAAGAAAAGAATGTCACATGAAATATATAGAACAGACACCTCTGAATGAAGTGTATAATTATATGTATCTGTGTTAGTGTCGTGTTGCCGGTGTCTGTCATGCATGTAAATAAGAGATACAGAATTGAAAGACTTACAAGATCAATTTCCAAGATCAAAGAGCTTGTAACAAATAGAATGAAGATGATGGAGGAGAAGGAGATCCATGTCTTCATTATGCTAAAACATAACTCATTGTCTCAATGAATTGTTTATGCGAGAGATTAGCCTTAGAAATCTGCGATCTTAATAATAATTCTGCATGTACCAATTGCATGATGCAACTGTTTTTATTTTTTATTTTTTTTATAATTTGATTTGGTTATTGGATTAATTAAAAGTTACTAATTTCAAGAGATTCTAAATATAGAATCTCTAATTATTATTATTATTATTATTATTATTATTATTATTATTATTATTATTATTATTATTATTATTATTATTATTATTATTAATATTAATATTAGAATAATTATTATTATTATTAATATTAATTCCAATGGATGATAATTAATAATTATGATAGTGTTGCAAATCTCACAATGAATAATCTGTTACGATATGGTGTCATTATTCAGAAAATCGCAATATAAATAATCGTTCCGATGATTAAGATAGTCATGCGAATCTTATTTCACTTGTAAATAGAATATTAATTATTAAGAATATGTTTTTGCATTGTATTTGGATAAAATTTATTATATATGAGAATAGATTTAAAAAATATCAAATTTGAAACTAGTTACATTGTCTTATTTTTCAATGAATTTTGATTAGATCATCACTTTTTCAATTATTTAACAAGAGATTAGTATATATTTATTTAAATATGTGTGTAATTAATTTTTCTTCTTCTTAGTCTTCTAATAGCATTCATATTATAGAACTCTGAAAACGTATAATTTTGCAAATGTATGGATTCTTGAATCTAAACATATACCATGTTGCATTTATTTATTTCCATCAAATTATTATTTTTTTGGATTATCTCTTCTATTTGAAATGATCTAAATAAATGTAGGTTAGTAGCTTATGTGTATGTGTGAGTTTTTGTTATTTGTTGAGTCATAAAGAGGAGAAATAATATTGGATTAAAAGTAGCATGCAAGTGAGAGAGACATCACATATTAATCTAAAACATTAATGTTTTACAAAATATTAATGTTTTAGGTGAATATGTGATGTCTCTCTCACTTGTGTGTTGCTCTTAACTCAATGTTGATTCTCCTCCTCATGGTCCAACAAATGGTATCAGAGTCTGGTTCGAGTAAAATGATCGACTTACTTGTATCGAAATGTCCAAAAAGAGGTGTCTCGTTGAATGCCCAAGAAGAGGTGTATCGAAATGCCCAGGAAAGAGGTGTCACTTGAGGGGAGCATTATGGACTCACACTTGAGGAGGAGTGTTGAGAATAATAAGTCAAGTGTGAGTTGGAGTCCCACACTAATTATAAATGTGAAGTCACGGTAGGATGACGAAGGAGGATGCGAGAGAGATGTTGGTGGAGGAGTTTGGGGTTGATCCACTGGATGCGCTTGAGGAGGTGGATAAGAGCAGATGGGCTCATGTGAGGTTCTCCTTTCTGACACATAGCTTTGGTGAGGCGTTCGCCGCTGCACGGCAAGCAAATGGTGATCCAGCTGATGTTGAGATACACAGGCAGCGTGTCTGATGTGTTATTTTCTATTTTTAGTCAACACTCAGTTGTTTGTAGACACGAGCTCCACATATACCGATGTCTCTTACCTCAGGTACTTTTTGGATTTTCCACACGAATCCATGAGTATAACTCTGGGGGCAGCTACACTGGCATACACGTATTCGAGGTTAGGAGAGGGATGCCTGTGGAATACCAGGATTGTGGTAGGCAACGTGTCACTACTTGTGGTAACAATGCTATATCCTTAAACTTTTTTTCATTTCTTTTCATTCTATATTCGTGATAATGCTTGGTCCTGATGTTTTTCATTTTCATTTCAGGCTTGGATATTCCAGCACTTTCCCATGATCGTCGGGTAAGAGAGTGTGCCTAAATACACAGAGCTGATGTCGCGTTCCTGTGTCTTTCTTCTGCTCAGGGGAAACCAGGCGGTCGACCCTTATAGAGTCTATCTCGATCGCCTGGATGTTGAGGACATCCTCTACGACATCTATGATGATCACCATGTGACACGCCCGTTTGATGACATCTCACTATTCTCATGATGGTTGGCATGCAGTTCGACCATCACTGTTATATATTTGTCCGAGCGCATCATGCGGCAATTCGGGTACACACAAACGATACTCAGACACCCAATTGTCTCCGCTCCTCTTGGCATGACCCGTATGTAGATAGAGAAGATATATGCTGACTATCAAATGCACATGGTACCGGACGAGGCTTGGGCGACCAGAGCGCCGGGAGATTGGAGTTGCGCTGATGGCTACATCATGTGGTTCTTCACCGTCTGACACCCCTACATGGTGCCCACTGCAGAAGGATCACTGTCCACACCATCTCATCAGAAGATTTTAGAGGAGCAGCAATCTCAGTTGGACCACACTCATGATCTCCTGCCTCACTGTCGTCAGATAGTGGAGATGGGGCGAACATGCATTGTCGTCGGTTTCTTCCCTGAGGGGTCTGACCACAAGCGTATATTGGATGTGATGATTGTGGTCGTAGAGGGGACACTTATGTACCGCAGACATCGTGCTACGACGGGTGGGATTGATGGCCGAGGACGCAGACCTGGCGGTCGAGAAGGCGGTAGAGGCAAAGGAGACGGCAGAAGCGTAGGCAGAGGAAAGGATGAAGATGTTGTCAGGCAAACACAGTAGTGACTGTGGTGTTTTTTGTATGTACTATATTTTGATGACATTGATGTACTATTTTTTAATAATGTTTATGATGTGTATATATATATATATATATATATATATATATATATATATATATATATATATATATATATATATATATATATATATATATATATATATATATATATATATATATATATATATATATATATATATATATATATATATATATATATATATTACGGATGTATGTTATTTTATATTTATTAATTTCTATTTGCGACTAATCATATTGGATTTAAAAAAAAAATGTTATGATAAGATTTTGAAGATGTATCTAATAAATTTTTTATGTGTTTTTGAAAAGATCCAGCCTAAAAAAAAAAGATGTGTCCGAAAATATAATTTTAAAAGCAGGAAGCATAAAAAAAAAAATGTGCTAGATGGTGAAGAGTATCAATGAGTCGATTAAGAAATTCTCATTATTATAATTATGAAATAGCTTCAACAAAAAATTAAACCAATCCATTTGCATAGAAATGTAAAAGTAGCCCAACACATTATATACCAACTGTCCATTATTTATTCGCACCCTTTATATGGTTTGAATTCTTCATGAATAAATATATTAGTATGATCTCACACTAGTTTGACCTCTTATACATATCCTTCGAATATAGTAATCTTAATACAACATGACGTAATGTATTTTTATAAAATAATTCAATCTTTCAAAGTAACAATTGTGTGTGTGAGAGTGATAAAGAAGAATTCACGTAGTAAGTACTCCATAGAAAAAGCAATCATCAAAAGCTAGAAAACAAGAGAAAATCAACTTGATGAAAGAGGGAACATGATCAGAACATGACTTACTTGGTGAATCCAATGGATGATGAAAGTGGTTGCAGCAAATAAAAACATGAAGATGAAAAATAATAAAGCTGAGGTTGAACTCCATCTCTTTGCTTTGTTGTATGATAGATGAAAGCTTTGACTATTAGCCATAGAATAGAGAGTTTTCCACTTTCACACCACACCTTATGTTGATTGATTATAATTCTTAAACCAAAATATATGAATCAATACCTCAAATAGATGGAATATGGTATATGATTTGTTTTATAATAAGATTATAATAAGTGGCAAATATATTTGTTAGTTTTAAAAAAAAATACTTTTATATTTAAAATGAAAAACTATTTTGACAAAAATAATATTTTGAATATAGATAAACAAAAAACTTAAAAAAAAAAAAAAAACTCATAATTACATAAAAGATGAATTTATTAGAACATGTAGGATTGTTAAACCAAAATTTTGTATAACTTACCTTAATAATAAAAAATTTGTATTATAGTAAAACTGACATGACATCTAAATGAACTAAAATTTAGTTCTATCAACTATCTGTAATATATTATAATATTATTTATTTAATTAATAAAATATTTCAACAATATTAGAGTAATGGCACGATATTTGAAAATAGAGAGATCAAGTTTTGACACAACAAATTTAGGCATTACGAAAACTTATTCCCCTTTGACGTCTCTTCTCAGTCGCAAAACGCACACAGAGAGAGGGAAGGTACGATGGCGAGCGGCGGGTTGAAGAAGATGTTAACCTTGGCAATCGGAGAAGGCGTATCTTGTGCACGAGCAACGATATTCGGTCATCAATTGAACCCAACCGGCAAGAAATCTGCTCACAAGATTCTCCGCATGAAAATGATTGGTGAAAAAGTTGCTCAATGGTACCCTCATGATATCAACAAAGATGACCCTCTTGTTATGGCTCGTCAACAACAAGAGTAATTAGTCTTTCTCTTCATATTAATGATTGCACGCTATGTGTTTGTGTTTATGTCTCTATGAAATCGTTTTCTCTTGTTTTGGAGTTTTTTTAGATGAGTTTGTTTTGTTTTTATTAGTGGATTGAGTAGTGTTGTAAAATTCAGTTCTTTTTTATTGGGTGTTTGATGGGTTTGATAATTCAATTTGAGTGATGCAGTTTAGAGAAAAGTATGTTGTGGTGAAAATTTTCTTGGTGTTGCTCTCTATGTGTTTGTGTTAATGTCTCTATGGTGTAGTTTTTTAGTTATTATTCTTAGTTTCTAAGTGACTTTGATGGAAATTGATTTATGCAGTTAATAGGAATGTTTGTTGTAATGAACTGAAACCCATTGTAATGGTAAAGGGGTTGGATGATTTTCCAAGGGATTTTAAATGGTTTTTAATGAACTGGAACTATTATGTCCTATATCCATCCTTCAAAGAACCCTCATCAAGGTCTTTCTGCACCCCACAAGACCTCGGGGTTGAATGGTAAAAGAACAATGGGAAATGGAATCCTTCATGTTGCCATTGATGGTCTCAGTCTCTTTCACATTAGGCCGAAAGTTCAGCTTGCTGAGTGCTTTCTTGTAGAAGCCAGAATTATTCTTAATAAATAATTAATTGGTTTCATGGGACGATGGAGAAGATGAAACGTATCCTTTTAGTTCTCTCTTCCATTTTGTGTAGATGAATGATCTGAATAATTGAAGTACTCATCTTTTTCTATGGCATCTAAGGTCTTGAATCCAACTCTAGCGGACACCAAATGAGTTGCTGATTTGTCAAATGGGTAAGCGAAGATATGTAGGAGGATGTTAGCTAGCTAGGTGTTAATTGCTTGGTAGATGAGGAAGGGACAAGGCTGAGTGTGAAATAGAGAGATGAGTTTCTTGGGGAAGATGAGCCAACGGATATATATACTCCCTCTGATTTGGTTAAAAAAACCTACCTAAATAGCAATTTTTTTTTTAATTGTTACCCTTAAACTTTACTCACTCAACTTGTAGTCTACACGGTCATTCTTAGTATATATATTTAACGAACTGAAACTACCTCATACGAGGATATTCTATTTATAGTTTATTGTATCGACAGAAGAGTAAAGTTTTATATATGAATTTTGGTTCCATTTTGTAGATGTGTTCCATTGATGTTATCGATTTTGTAAGACTGCTTTTTGTCAATATGAAAATTTATTCCATATTCAATGTAGATATTAACTGTAATTTGACATATCTTTTACAGCTTATCTTACATTCATTTCCACGCATTCAAGAATTTTGATGCATTTGTTATTTTGTTCTATGTAGACGCTTATCAAAGCTTGAAATGTTGAAGCGTCGAGGTAAAGGGCCACCCAAGAAGGGACAGGGAAGGCGTGCTGCAAAACGCAACAAATAAATTATAGTCTTCCTTATCTTGAATTCATTTGTTGGGTATACTGTTTTAAATCAAATACTGGTAGTTATTTCAGCAAACACCTTGAATTTCATTTATTTTATCCGAATGACAGATTTTGTGTTATTCTTGGGGGAAAACTTAATGCATTTGAAAGTGATTTCTTTGTCTTTGTTCATGTGGTTGTGATTTTCTAATCAGTCAAGAACCTAGTTTTGCACTATAGAAATCCTTCAATTTGGCTGTTATAAACCACCTGTTACTCACTTGGAACATGATAAATTGCAGTTGTTTTGCTACTGCCTGATTAAATATTGCAGCAACCAACATTTATTTTTAAGCTCTTTGGTTACTGTTTTTGCCACTTACATAACATAATAATACATCATTCACATGTCACAGTAAATGATTATCCAATGCATCAATCATATGGTATCATCAACTAAGCCTTTGGTTGTGCCGTGAAGTCCATAAACACATGTTTCCTAAACTTAAGCGTGACTTGAACATATACTGCAAAGTTGTTTGGATTCTTAAAAATAAAATCAATTTTAGTCTTTAGAATTGAGTTTACCCGAAACCTTGAAATAATAGCTTCTACAATCTTTCAAATTGATCCTGCAAATAGCTTGTCATTAAAAAAAATGCATTTTCAATCTATTATTTCAAGGCCAAATTACACTTTTTTTATCTTTCTATTTTCTATTTTATCTAATTCACGCAATTAGTCATTCTATTTTAAATTCAAATAGTTTAGTAGGATTAAAAGTTTACCATTCACCAAGATTATGGTACGTGCGGGTTAGAGTGATTGAGACACAAGACTTAAGTCTGTCTGATAAATCTCAATTCTCAGATGCCTATAGACTGGTCACCAGATCTTAAAGACAAAATTGGTTCAGTCAAGAACGAAAAAATATGCGATGGGATCAGGAGCTGATGTTTGTTGTTGTCGAACCCTGAGATGAAGCATTGATCCTTTGTGTTGCTGTCGAACCCTGAGATGAACCATTGATCCTTTGTGTTGAAAATTGTCTTGGTCCCAACAAGGACATGACAATTGGGGTGAAAATTGTCTTGGTCCCAACAAGGACGAGACGATTGTGGTTGTTATTCCTTTGACCAAAGTTGATAAGCATGCTGATGATAGAATTATCTGTACTAGGTGGTATAACCTTCAAGAGTCCATGTCATCTGCGATGGATGGGGAACATGAGAAGACAAATGATGTATTTTTTAGTAGGATTCACCTTAGTGTCTGTCTTGATGGTGGGTATCATGTTTTTGGTGAGTCAATTTATCATACTAGTGATCTTACACCCATCTCAAAGCAGCTCTAGAAAAAGCCAATTGGCGTTTTAGAACTCAGCTGAACCATGCACAATGAAACTAGTTTGATGATGACTGGTGTAAGAAACTCAGCTGAACTTTTCATGTAAGAGTTGCAGGTTTTTTGTATGGAAGTGAGAAGGATAATGAAAGGACCCTTTCAAAAGGGATAAAAATATGAATCTCCCTTTTTATGTACTCAAAATAATTATCATTCAATGTCTTAAAAATAACACTATTAATAACAAAATAATGAGAAGAAATGTTTTTCTAACACAATCAGCTGTTGGGTTGGAAAATTGAAAAAGTGTCGACGAAGATCTTTGACAAACACATGTTTTTAAAAAGTTATACTTTTCGCGTACGAGTATCTACTCTATCTTCATAAATTTTGTTACATATTCATTCTAGATTTAATTAATCATCAAGTTCTTTTAACATAATTTCAGGTTTCACTTTAATCTTTAGCTAATAAATGTTATATATCAGTCCCTTAAAATTAATTTCGTTAACCAACTTAACCTTTTATGTTAAATGTTGAGAAAAACATTAACTTGTGATGATATGACATGACACCATGACAAAAGATAAAATAATGACTCAACAAACATCTTATATTAGTATTCTAAGCTTCATTCTCATTGAGTTTCTAGGATTTCTTCTTCATCTTCTTCAATATTTGTCTTCTTCAACATTCATCTTCATCAACATTTGTCTTCTTCAAAATTTATGTTCAAATGTCAAAGAATTCCAACACCTCTTCAAAGTCAAACAATCAAAGTTGTAGGACATTTAGATCTATGCTAAGAAGAAAGAAGAGGCGGGAGTGTTTTTGCCAAGAGGAGTGTGTTCTTCGTACGGTTACAAACATGAACAGTGTGAATGTTGGAATAAATTAGGATTGTAACTTCTTCAAGTGGTTGTATGAAATGGATGCATGGAATGAATAATGGATGCATGAAATGTCATAATAAATTCTTCTACAATAGAGTTATACACCAATGATGTTATACATTTCAGGAAGCTGTGTGAGAAGTATCTAGATTTGTTGAAATATTTTGAAAGTGCAATTTTGAACTAGATGAAGGAGAAGATTGTTTGTGCTTGGACCGATCAAGTTAGACACCTTAAAAATACAACAACAAACTAAGTTGAGTCTGTCCATGCTACACTGAAAAATTGGTTGAAAAATAGTAAGGGCAATTTCTATAGAGATTGAAACAATGTGAACTAAATAATAAATAAATAAATAAAAAACGCTAACAAAAGTCTAAACTAAAATTATAAAATTGGCTAACATCAAGAATAATCCCCGACAACAGCACCAATCTAATATGTTGTCGCACACAGATCAAAAACGAGTATTTTTTGAAAAGTAGTAAAGCGACAATGACTCGAGTATTATCTCAAGGATTCTTGAATTGTTGTTAACCGACCGAGTGGACAGTGGGGGGTTTGAATTTTGATTAAAAGAAATATAATGCAAATAAGTGATTATCAAAATAAGCTAAAACGGTTACTATGCTATTTTAGTTTCTCAATTTATCATCGATCCAAATAATTCCTAATTCCTAACGGGATTCTATCCCCTTTTCGATTATAATAACAACTAAAGAAGCGCAATTGATATTATATGATACACGTTCCTAATTTATGAATTAATCAAACAGATGGAATATAGCAATCGTGAATTAAACAAACACTATAAACATACGCGAATTAAGCAAACACGATTAAATTATAAGAACATGAAATCATCAAAATAAACTAATCAACCCTAAGATAAATCGAATTAAGCAAACAAGATATCACAGAGAAGGATTGAAAGGAAATAGATTTTATTGGAAATTAAAAGAATCTCAAAGTGCCGACGGAAACCGATTACAGCAGATTAATCCTTGAAATTAGTTCTCCATTCAATCGTACAAAAGCAAAAACTAAAATTTTGAAAAAAAAGGTTGAAAACAGTAGCACGACTGCTAGGTATATGAAAGCATCAACAATTCCGGTTCTAACCCAACTGGGTTGAAAAATATAAATAACCCGACGCAAAACTAAATATTTCTAAAGGAAGAATTCGGGTTCTGACTTCAAAGAATTATTTGAGCCTGCTACACTCCGGATCAGTTTCTGCCTACAGCACACACACACACACACACACATACACACACATACGCGCGCGCACGCGCTCACGCGCGCACACACACACACAAAAATATATATATCATTTGGTCGTAACATCACAGTGTTGGAACACATATTTAAATACAATATTCTATGATCTAAGTTGGTCGATAACATATCTCGAGCAGGAGTGAAATATATTTTTCACGAAGCCAAACAAGCTACTAATGTATGTTCTGATAACTAAAAGTGTGGTTGCACACTTATGAAAACCTATGGTCTCCCATGTGCTTGTCTTATATTTAAGAAGGTGAAACTTGATAGCCCGATACGAATGGATGAAGTTTGCACTCACTAGAAAAGGCTCAGGTTTGATGATGATGGTGTTATGAAAGATGATAAACCAAATATCTCTATCTTAAACGAATGAGAAGCGATACAAGAGAGATTTTTAAAAGTCGGTGACAATATGAAACTCCACATCAAAGCGAAATTGAGGAAGATTGCTTATCCGAAAACCACAGACTTGAAACCACCATCACAACCAGTAAAAACAAAAGGTTCTCACAAGAAGGTCAAACATACACTAAGTGACAATTCAACGACGTGGTCTTCTTCATATTTTGAACATGATGACAAACTTTTTCTATATTCACTAGCTCTAAAATCACAAAAAAGTGTTTTCAAAGGAGATCGCATTAGAAAACCACCTCCTTCACTGCCTCCACCAAAAATTTCATTCATTGACGAGATACCAATTTTTATGCATAATTACATTGAACGGATCATCAATGTTGAGGGTGATGGTTATTGCGGTTTTAGAGTTATTTCTGATTTTCTCGGTAAAGGAGAAGAGAATCGCACACTTGTCCGCCATCAACTTATCCAAGAGTTAAGAGGCCATGAATAATCATACACATGGTTACACGGGGAAAAAAAAGAAATTTTTGGTGCAATTTATGAATCTCTTGTTCCTTGCATTAGTGGACCGACACCGGAGGATAAATGGATGCACTTCCATGATATGGGTCATCTCATATCAAGTGCGTATGATAGAGTGTGTATTGATCTTACAAGATACAATTTCTCAAAAACATTTTTCCATACACACTTCCCCGTCTCAAAATTCAAATGATCGTATTATATGTGTTGGGTAAATTTCAAATCTGTGACACTTTGTTCAAGTTTATTTGAAATCGGGATGCCCTATAACATTTATATCATCAGAGTGGACAACTCATTCAACAATAAAAACCGATACTTGGTTGAACCATTTTGTGGAAAGGATACAAGAGTTCACCAAATTGAGCGAGATATAAAGAGAATCAAATAAACAAAGGTCAAAAGATGTACCACCCAATGTAGATTTAGCCGACGATAAATGTTTCAGATCATTTTAGTTTTTATTCATCAATGTGTTGTATGTAATCTTGTATTAATATTAATGATGTCTAATATATATTTTCAAATATTAATACTTTTTATTTATTTTTCATATATACATTTAAGGCAAAATACCCTTGTTGGTCCGGTATCTTAACCTCGGGGTT